AATGAATGAATGAATGAATGAATGAATGAATGAATGAATGAATGAATAATTTAAGCTAATTATTTGACCTTGATGCACCAACTTGAAATTGTTAAGAATTTTTTGCTTGCTGTTTTGTTTGCCCCTCCCCTGAAGAGCTAGAGATATAACTTAGTGGCAGCACACTGGTTCCTACGTTCATTCCCAGACACACATACACAAAACAAACAAGCAAGCAAGCAAAACCCCTAACCCTCCAAATACAAGTAAGAAAACTAAAAGGTCTTTAACATTACAGTTATTCATTTCTCATTCATCTTTTGGTGGTGATAGCTGTTTTAAACAAAGAAATAAAATTTGTAAAAGACAGTAAGATTGGAGGAAAGTGAAACAAATTAACTCAAAAAAAAAGTATAATTATCAATTTATGAAGAGATCCTAGAAAAGGATTATGAGAACAGAAGCTTCACAATTACCCCTACTCAGTGACTGTATCCCCTCAATGTAGACACTAACATTATTCTGTGAACTTCCAGTATTTAAGATTTTATACTTTTATAAAATCTAAAGCTTATCTCTGAGGTGTTTTAATTTCTATTTCAGCTAAAATTGTTCTCAAGCTTCAGAAAAACATACATTAGCAATAGCATGAGCTCATGTTTCTCTATGAAGGCATCTTGTTTCAGAACTCTTACCACTAGAAAAAAATGTTAAATATTTTCCAATGTAATCTTTGAAGTAATTAACACTGTACCTCTGGCTGCTGCAGCTGCTAGTTACTTGACCCCGAGTGTCATAGCCAACAACAAAACCTCTCTGTTTGAAGTCTGAAAAACATCTCTCCAGGTATTTGTACATCCCCTGAAGCAAAGAGACAGAAGATTAGTTCCTGAACAAGCTTCCGCCTTAAGTGCCTGCCTCCCTTTCAGCGTTGAGGATGAACGGGCTAGGCAAGTGCATTACCACTGAGCTGCATGCCAGCCTCACTGTCTCCATTTTACAACCTAAAAATCTCCTGTTTTTATGTTCAGCGTACTGCTTATTGACTCTGACCTGGCTTCGGCCTTTATGGCCATGCTTACTAGTCTGGGAGCAATACTGCTTGACCCACAACTGTGAGAGGACAATTATTTCTCAGATTTGCAAACACATTTAGTACTACAGAAATACCAACTTAATAGCCAGTACAATACATAAAACATGAGGAAGAGAGAACAAACCGTAGGGAATGAAAGTCAGGTAAGGGGAAAGGGTGGGGCATGTCTGTAAGTGTATTCAGAAGAAACCAGGAAAAATTTCACCACCTCCTTATGTGGTCCTGACCGGCCTAGAACTTGCTATGTAGACCAGCCTGTCCTCAAACTACAGAGTTCATCAGCTTCAGTCTCCCTCTTTAGTGATGGGACTAAAGTCCATGAAAAGGACTGTTTTTGTAGGGTATATAAATGATTTCCAACATAAATCTTCGGCAAAACAAATGATCAAAATTGGGTCTGCCCTTTTTGTTTATAACAATACCTTCCTGAACAAAAGAGTTAATTTTTTGAAAGGGTACTACCTAACTTATAAAGTAAAATAATAGAATGAGAAAAGTACATATATATAATATTTTGTAATACTTGCCTGTGTTGACTGTATTACTGTAAGGTCATTAATATAGCAAAATCCTGCCCCCATGGCAGATCGAAGGCCTGCAGTCCCAAAAGTCATCCGGCAACAAAGACGATCACGCAATTCCTTGTTCATCCCATTCCGCAAGAGATTTTCAATCTGCTCTTTTGTTTTGGGATTCTGTTTAAAAAAAAAAAAAAAAAAGCAGATCTAATTGGGAACACAAAGTTCGAATACTAAGCCTGTCCAAATGTAGACTCTTAAGCCTGGTTCATTAGATTCCAAAGATACTTATTAAAATTAGTATATACTACAAAAATACAGTACTATTTATGCATATACATATATATACATATATATATGTACACTAAAAATGGCATGTATTATTTATTAAAAAATCCTTCTACTTACTGAGTCATCAAAAGAGCCAGGCTCTACTGAGGGAATTTACATATATCTTTTTTTCTATAATCTTAAATTTAAGAGCTATGAATAAAATGTTCCTTTTAGTCAATTAAGTTAGAGTCTGTATTAAATTTTAAAATATAGAGGCAACTATTGGATAAATGCTATCAAAACACACCTCCCAATTAATTACCTACTTAGCTAACTCTCCAAATCAAGATAAGCCAGGTATGGTAGCACATGCCTATAGCCCACCAATGGATATAGTTCTAATTGATAATGCCACACAATAAATCATCTTTAGCTTGGTTCTGAGAGAATTCTATAGGGCCAAGTACTAATACAGGGAATGGAGGATAACGGTGACAAGACAGCTTGATTAGGTAGAGTACATGCTGCTTTTCCTACTCATTCGTCTCTATCTCCTTCCTAGATCTCAACCAAGATCACATATACTTAGTTACTTTGTCTCCACAGAGAGAGCGGACTAACAGGGTCTCAGGGCAGCCTCTCCACACTGCAAGCTTGACAGCCAGACTGGGCTACACAAGACCTTGTTTAAAAAACTGAAAATAAATGACCAAACAAAATAACACACACAAAAAAATCCCATCCTACTATTCTTTAAAAAAATCACATCCCACTAATGTATAGCACCAGCTGACCATAAGATTCTGGGCATCAAGTGTGTCATGTTAGATTTTCATTAAAATGCAAACTTGTCTGGAAAGAAAGGGCATGCCAACATTCATATTTAGAATTTTAGCATGTACTGGGCCCTGGATTCAACCCCCAATATAAAGAAATAAATAGGCAAACAAATAAAAAGATCACCACATTCCAAATTAAAATAAAATTATGAGAAAGCCTAAATGGAACTTTCTAGTACTTTTTATGGGAGAACCAAATATTAAAAACACAAAGTGAAATATAACTTCTCTCTTCAAAGTTTCTACGAGTTGAATCTGCACTATTCACATTTTCTACATCAATAGAATGCTAATGAATGCTAGGCATTACAAACCAAGGTACCTGCAAGGTGTTCAATGTTAAGAGAACTTTGTACTTGTACATAAAAACATTATCAAATCATAATTTAAACCAGTTTCTGATTATAGTAGAAATGAAAGTAACTGGAGTTTGTGATCAAGCTAATAAGACATAGGAAATCTACTAACTGAATTTTCTTTCTTTTTGAGACCGAGTGTCATGTAGCTCAGGCTGGGCTTGAACTCACTATGTAGCCAAGGGTAGCCTTGGACTCTTGATTCTCCTGCCTCTGTCTCTCAGGCATGTTCCACCATACCTGGCTCTAAGATTTTAATCTGTTTAACGCCAAAGGGTGTGTATGTGTAAAACCTAGATTCAAGCACTTCCTGTTTTATAAATGGCATACACTAACATCTACACAGCCTGTATAAAAATATGAATAGCTATTAGGAGAAAAACCTAAACAAAAGAATATTTAAGCTACCAACAAACTATCCCAAAGTCAAAGGTTATCATCAGATTTGAAAGATGTAAAATGATCTGGAGACCGTTAACATTCTGGGATTACAGCAAAACCTGACTGGCCGTTTTTTAATGTACAGAGGGTAAGTCCTGATTTGGAGCCACAGAGACTGTAAACTGGGATGGTTAATGTGAAGAGGGTGAGTACTGATTTGGAGCCACAGAGACTGTAGACTGGGATGGTTAATGTACAGAGGGTGAGTACTGATTTGGAGCCACAGAGACTGTAGACTGGGATGGTTAATGTACAGAGGGTGTACTGATTTGGAGTCACAGAGACTGTAGACTGGGATGGTTAATGTACAGAGGGTGAGTACTGATTTGGAGCCACAGAGACTGTAAACTGGGATGGTTAATGTGCAGAGGGTAAGTCCTGATTTGGAGCCACAGAGACTGTAGACTGGGATGGTTAATGT